AGATTATATAACCGTTTAATCTAATGTAAACTACTTCATGGTACTGCACAATTAATTTCAATCACAAAACCCACGTTCTAGCAACTAAATAATAACTAAAGATAAGAATTTTTTAAAACATACAAAAATATGAAGGGGGAAAACAGTCAACATTAAAAAAACTATGACTTTAATAGAGGGACAATGTACCAGTAAGAATAAATATTGTCCATTTCGGATTATTCGGTATGTCACATTAACAAATTATTACATCAAGCATTGATTATGTTGAAATGTTAAAAGCACTAAACCTTGATTGCCTACCATATTTCATAATAGGCCTGGTGCTGAGCATAGGTATCAACTACACAAATTTCATCTTAACTTATTCCATTATTCATGTGATTTAATTACCAAAATATCTGTCCTTGTGCTCTATTCATGCTATCAAGATTTATGTGGCACAAACAAGATCTCATCATGCCCATGCAGTGACGGATTCAATTGTGTTAGTTCGTGAAATCAAAAAAGCGCGTCAAAATACGCGCTGTTGTCGTTAAGGACTTTTTGTGTGGTAAAGAATACAAATTTGCTTGACAACCAATACGCGCTCATTTTGACGCGCTACTGTGATTTCACGAACTAACACAATCTACTTTGATTGTGTTAGTTCGTGATGTGAGCGACGATATTTGTCATAGTACATATTTTTTTTTTTTTTTAATGGAGATATAAAGAGTCTGAGAGCGAAATTTCCGGCCATCTAGAGGTGCCATAATTAATAATAAATAACATTTTCTAAACCTCAGCCCCAACCATGGTGGGGCTTAGGTGGTATGGATCCTCCATATGTGAAAGTACCTCCCAGGGCCCAATCTATTTTGAACTTTTGGATCCACCACTGCAATGTATGGGCAAATCTCACATATTTGTCATATTACATAGATAATGTGGACAGTGCTTTAATCTTAAATAAGCATCCTCAAAGGAGGCATCATGTTATATTTGAAAATATAAAAAAATTATTTAATGAAATTCATCATCATATTTTGAAGGCAGTATTCTTAGAATTCTTCTTGAACGCTAATCGTTGTTAGACATCGCGTGCCTCTCTAATTTCCGCCATTCGGTGCGATTCCTTCTTGATGTTGAGTTTTGACAATTTACCATCCTGATGTTGTTAGTAAGTTATTCTCTATAAGTTTCTTCTATACCGGTAGTATGTATGTAAATTTATTTTAACTTTAATCATCGAGGTTATAGAATGTCTGGAAATACAAGTTACCCCACTGGCAGTGGAGGTCCCGATTAGGCTACAGATAGACAGAAACTCTTGGAAGCAGAACTTCCATTCCAGTGTTAAATTCGCTATTCTACGCCAACACACAGTTGTCACAATAGCAAATTTAAGCGTTGTATGGTATGCCACTACTTCTATTGGACTCACTAAATACACGATTGGCTGATATTGAAAAACGAGCCATGCAGGAATTCTAAGCAGCTGAGATTATGATGCGATAGGCACGAGTGCGAGTAATCCTAGACAACCAAGTAGGCCAAATATTGAAAAAAATGCCATTCATATGAACTTTAGTAATCCACTCGAAAAATTATGATTTGTATAGAAGATTGTGGCGAAGTTAAGAAATGTTAAATAAAACGGAGAAACTGTACAATAACTTATTTAACCTTTAATTGTCATTTGCCAACCTATTCCATTGGCCAAGGAGGCTGAGAAAGCATTTGAGAAATTGAAAATTCAGTAGTAGCAACGATAGCTGAATCTATCACTTTCGAAGTCGAACGGATGCATCGGATTCGGAAATTTTAAACCAAGACGGTCGCTAAGGGGCATTTATTTTCTGTCCACTGCTAGGACTATGAGCATAATGAAGCCGGATCTTAAAACAATTTTTTGACATGAAATCATGGAATGAACGCCGTGCGAACATTAGTTTCCAAGGTAATTTCAAATAAACAATACAAAAAGAATAGATTATTTTTAATCATACGGAATGGCCATGAACTAAAATTCTATTTTATTCATTAAAGGTTGACATAAAACAAAAACAACAAACCGAGTTTTTTCCAAACCGACGAGGAAAACGCTATTTGCATCACATGGCAGCTCGAATTCCGGTACCTGCTCTATGGCAAATGGTCTTTAGGGGTTTAATATTTCTAACGTAGTATTTTAATGTTCATGTATGCTTAACTGAAGGTTAATGCATCATTTGGATGCATATGTATTATGTGTATGCTATTTTGTTGACAATAAGTCCTTATGTTAGATAAGCCTTTAGGGGCAGCACAGTACATTAATTATGACTATCTGTGAGTGGCTGCCCCTACCTCTGTTTTACTACTGTACGTTGTACAATTCGTCGTTATTAAAATGACATATTATCATCATTTACTTTTATTTTGCGTAGCGTGTCTGACGTGTGAAAAAAAAATTCCCAGTAGATCAGTCAAGAAGAAAGTAATCTTTTTCTTACAAATTTCAGCTGAAGAATGGAACAACTGTCCAGGTTTGCAAGTCCATGTTTGCATCAACAGTTGGCCTTTCTCAAGACTGTTGCTGATTGGCTAACAAAAAGGTAGAAATCTTTTTCTTACAAATTTCAGCTGAAGAATGGAACATCTGTCCAGGTTTGCAAGTCCCTGTTGGCATCAACCCTTGGACTTTCTCAGGACTGTTGCTGATTGGCTAACCAACAACGATTACACCCCTAAAGGTGAAAATCCGCATATGGCCTCAAAATGTAAAGATGAAAAATGGCATGCAACTTTTATGAAACCCTGAAAAATGTACAGTATTATACAAATAGCATCTCCTAAACATCTGCTTTTTTTTTTGTTATTCCAGGCAAGACTGCGTATGTGGAAAGAAATGACATGGACTACTCTAATAAGTGGCTGATCTACCTTCTATGCCATCGCAATTGCACTATTGTAGAAATACTGCCACTTAATATAGAAATAAGAAATTCTTATACCCAGTCACAACACTCACTAAGCTCCACCCAGAGTACAAAAACGGATGCAGAGAATGAGAACGTTTCAGCCAAATTTTTAATGATGAAAACTTGTTGGTATTTATAGGCCTACCACTAAAAGATGAGTGCGATGTTTGCATCAGCCCGAAGTATTGCAATATTGATGCCATTACACAGATTAAGCAAAAAAGGAAAAAAGCTGCTGACAAAAATGCATCTAATGATGAAGTGTCTGTGTGGACTATGGACTTACAAGCTGTCTTATGTCCCAGAAAAGCTGGTACAATGTACTATAAAACTAAATTGCAAGTTCACAATTTTACATTGTAAGATTTGAAAAGTAAGGAGGGCTACTGCTATACGTGGGAAGAACATGTTTAAACAATGAGGGGTGTTGTGGACGTGTAATTTTTAATTCAACATTGTATTGCTGTTTTATTTTAAATTGTTGATAACATACCACTTCATCAAAAGGTTATTCATTTTTGTAAAGTCAGTCATAAAACTGCCTAAGTCACATGCCATTAACGATATTCAGTTAATTATGCGTTTCATATTTCGAAGATTGATGTAAAGAATATCTACAGATTTTCAGATAGGGCTGCTGTCCAGTACAAATGCAGGGATGCATTTGTCAACATTGCAGACTTTGCCGAGAAATTCCCTGACCTGAAAATTGAGCACATTTTATTTATTTTTTTTTTTTGGGTCAAGACATGGTAAAGAGCCAAGTGATGGCGGATCTGTGATCAAGAACAAAGCGTCAATGGCTGTGACATCTGGTGAAGCTGTATTCAATAATGCGAGACACCTGAAAATCATGGCAGAAGATACCACATGATGTCAGATGCCATCACTTCAAGAGGAAGATTAAATATGTCAAAGACAGAGGGAAGGCATGACGGGTTGGAGGTCAAAACAATTAAGGGGACGAGGATGTTACACGCCATCACGCCATCTACTACCGAAGGTCATATGATAAGAAACTGGACCTGCATTAGTTTCGATGGGGTTGATAAGGGCAAGCAGTAATGTAAATTCTGTGTCGCTATGGGAGGAACGGTTTCTATTTACAAGACAACAGAATGCTCAACGTCAAGTGATGGGGTGAATTTTAAGTGCAAGTTCATGAAGAAAATGGAAGAGAGCCAAATGCCATCCTCCTCCCTCATCGGTCTTGTCCAGTGATAAGGACTAACAAGGCTCTCCAGACAACCCCAACCATTAATGAATCAATATTGAATTGATATTGAAATGATCGTTAAATTTGAACATTAACAGTGCATGAACAAACATGCATTCTCAATTATAGAGAAAATTGCAACTGAATTGTCTTTGGTGAGAAAGCAACCTATAATATTATCATCAGCAGAAAATACAACTTATTACATTATTTTATTTCATGCCACTTGAATTTCAATAAATATTTTAAATGTTAATGTGTTATTTTTGTAAAAAAATTGTCAATTTTGTTTTTGTTTTTCTACTTTGAACAGATCAGAAATCATCCCAGGTCCTTTATCATCTTATATATAAAGATTATTCAGAACCAGTAAAATAACCTCACAACTATTAAGTATAGGTTGATCAAGCAAAAAATAAATGGTGTCCTTTGTTACATTAGTGAAAATGACTATCCATGTTGTAATTCAACCCTTGCAGCTCTTTGAAATGAATGGATATATGTCAACAGTTTTTATTCCTTAAGTTAGAATAGTTTACTTTCTGAAAATACCATCATTTGTACTGTAATGCAACTTCAAATTTTGAAGCCAATGTCACACTTTGTTTCCCAACTTGATGGAATCATATGTAAAATGCAAATCACAAACTTGCTTCTCGTTCAAATTTGATCACCAGTTCAGAATGCATGGTGTGAGGAAACATATCAACAGGCACTGCTTTGTTTGGATACCAGGCTTGTCCACGGGCATCCTCTCCATCTGGTTGGCACAATCTGAAATTTACAAGTATAGCACCAGAAAAAGTCATTTCATAGATAATAACGTAGAAAATCGTAAAATTATATATATATCATTTCATTTATTTTGCCTTCAAGAGATAACAAATCTATGGACATGAGAAAATAAAAGTCTATATCACATACAAATAACGAGGACAAGTGATCGTTAGCAAATCGACAGAATTGTCAAAAAGTGAAACAAATCAATGTCAAGTGGACCTCCAAGGTTGAATACAATACTGTACATGTAACAGTTAACAACCTCCTACCTCCTACATTACGTGCCATCGTGAAGACACCCCTATTATTGAAGAAAGAGAGAGTACCTACCATACAAGTTGAAACTGATGTGGGTTTGGGTTGGAGCTAGGTCACTATCTAAGTAAAAATTTGAGAAGTTCCATCCCAGTGGCGGCTTAAGCCCCATCGGACAGATCAAGAAAAACCGCCCCCCCCCCTCCAACCCGTTTCTTGTTGGGCAGTCGGACGAAAAAAAAACCTACACCATGTCAACACATATCTGTCACAGCAATCACTTCGTCTGGGTTGGATCAGTCAAGCAGAATGTAGAACAGTGAATCGACCATGTGCTACTCCGTTACATTGCCGGCGGAGCTGCTAACCAAAATATATTTCTCCAGTATTACTGACTTTAAATTTTTTACCCCGACAGGCTAGCCTTTTTTTTTTTTTTGCAAGTCATATTCATTTTAGTTTTCTTGGTTTTTAACCAACCAGGCTGATGCTTTTGTAGAGGTATGTGGCAGAAAATTCTTGTCAATACTGTGTATATCTCCTGGTCGAGTGAAACTCCTGGCAAAGCATAAATGGTGGACACATGATCAATCCCGATTATGATGATTGGAAAGAACAGATCAAGGCACACATTAGTAGATTCCGAGACACTTCCATCTGAGTTTACAAAGGAGCATTTCAATTTTGTTGACTTTAAACAAAATTAATATTGGAACAAAGTTTGTAAGGGAAAAAATGGAGCAAAGCGAGTGATCTGTGAACAGGCAGAGTCCTTTACGTACATTCCCATTCTTGACAACTGCTATCGAATGATAGGATTTTAGCAATGGTTTTAAAGTAGCCAAATAAACATAAACCTGAATTTGTTTATGATATCCACGATATTTCATGGTAACAATATGCGTGGGAAATTTATAAAGAAGAGAACTAAGATGTGGGCGGAGGGTATGCACTCTATACACGATTTTGTTACAGTGTTCTCTGTCTTAAAGAATTTGTTTTGTTATACTGTACTTTATCTTTCAGCAGCCAAGGATAAAAAGTTAATACAAGGCATTTTTGTATTCAATATTTCAAACTTAATTTGTTTAACTGCATAATTCATACTATCTTATCTTTCAGCAGGTTTCTTAACTTACCTTCCTAATCAGACTAAAAAAACATGGTTATGGACATTTGCTGCTTAAATATCACAGAGAAAGTTATAGAAGCCTGTAATGCAAAAGATTCTTGAATATGGTTTCATAAGAAACTCTAGTAAATGGTTTAATATACCATATATTACAGAAAAATTTCTGATATAAACAGGACTGTAAAGAGAAAGACTATAGAATAAGCGTGTATCAGTAAGACATGCCCATCAGATTGAACAGGGTACTCTCTGTTTTAAAGAATTTGTTTTGTTATACTCTACTGTATCTTTCAGCACCCAAGGATAAAAAGTTAATACAAGCCATTTGTATTCAATATTTCAAACTTAATTTGTTTAACTGCACAATTCATACTATCTTATCTTTCAGCGGGTTTCTTAACTTACCTTCCGAATCAGACAAAAAAAACATGGTTATGGACATTTGCTTCAATATCACAGAGAAAGTTATACAAGCCTGTAATGCAAAAGATTATTGAATATATGGTTTCATAAGAAACTCTAATATGCTTTAATATACCATATAAAAAAAATTCTGATATAAACAAGATTGTAAAGAGAAAGACTATAGAATATAGCTTTAATTTGAGGTATGTGCATCAGTAAGACATGCCCATCAGATTGAACAGGGTATAAAGAAAGGTTTGATGAGAAGTAGTTGTTGGTGGTGGGCTGATAAAAGCCAAGCACAGGGCTCAAATTGCGGGCTTATCTGGAAGGGTGAACCAACTTGAAGCAACAGTAGAACTAGCAAGCCACAGGGGCATATGTTGTGAAAACCAGGAATCCCAGTGGCTGCCTCACTTGACTGTATGAATCCCTCTAGCCAAAGACATCAAGCTTTTGCATGGAGTTGCCCAGTTGTGAGATGGAAGTGGCCCAACTAAAACAATTTTTTAGGTAGAAACAGTAGCAGGAAAAAAAGCTGCCAGAACTGCTTGAGGAATGGAACGCAACTGCATGCCACCATTGCTTTCATTGTGGCAGTGGTGGACATTTTCAGTTCCATTGCCCACAGAGGACATCGCAACCCCAAAAGGCCGCAGGCTATTTCGAAATATCAGCACAATTGCCTGAGTGAGTGTATTGCCAATATTTGTAATTGATTCTTCTTTTTAAAAATTTCAAAAATCATGTTTTATTTTTGTTGTTCAAACCCTGCATGTGCCTGATTAAACAATGATGGGATTAAATTGAATATACATTTATTTTTTTTTATTTCAACAATTATTTCTTTCATCTTTTCTTTGATATATACACAGTAGAAAATAATTAAATTGAGTAATAATAATATTAGAATAACTGTATAAATATTTTTCCCGCCGATATGAAATTTGTGAATGACATGATTGAAATTGGTGTTGCAATGCCCATGCTGTTGTTGCAAATGTCTGAAGGATAAATTCTATATGTCCATGACATGGTCTATAAATGATCCGGAACATGGTTCCCGCACCGTACAGTAAGTAAAATTACCCTATATGAATATATCCCAAGCAAGCAAATAAAACCTTCCCTTGACATGCGAGCAGGAAATAAATGATGATGATTCGCGGTCTGTCGAAGTATGTGTATCACTTTGATAAAACATGGTCAAAACGCGGGCACACTGCAAACCATTGTTGGTGTCATTGTTTCTATGGATACAGGAAAAGTCCTAGATACATGTCCTTTGCATAAGACATGTAATATCTGTGCAAAATACTCGGAATACAACAAGCAGTCCCAGAAGAATAAATATTGGTGGAAAACACACAGAAACAAATGCCGTAATGATTATGATGATTAAGTCTGAGCATGGAAACAGAGGGGAAAATAATGTGGGGGCATTTGATCGCAAAACACAACTTAATGTACACCCAAATTTTATGTGATGGAGACAGTAAAAGCTTTATCGAATTAAAAAACATATACAGGCCAGACCAAACCCCTGGAAAAACTGGACAGTATAGGCCATGTTGGCAAATGCACGTTCTGGGCCTTAGAGAAAATTTTAATCAAATTTAAAATAAAAATTCCTTGGCTGCGGCAAGGGAAGATTGACATCTGGGCCTCTCAGCCTCTCGGTTCAATAATGTGTCTGGGTTACCAGATAGAAATGCAATAAGGCTGAATGTGAACAAAATCCAATCAACGGTGTAAGAAGGAGAGTGAAACAAATGCAGCATGCGATCTTAGCAATTTTGTATCAATCCATGAAGTGGCACAAATATTGTTCTCCAAATACTGCCCAGAAGAAGCAAGCTAGTGTAAACTTCAGCATGAAGGGTCCTTGGATGACAGCAACTGCCACTTAGATGAAATATTCCTAAAAATATGCTTGCTACCATATTTCAGTGTCTTTCCGGCCCAGAGCAGCGCAAGATCAGAACAAAAGCTTCAACTCTCTTGAATTAGAATTTTTAATGCATTCATTGTTTAAAATAATTTCCCCACATTCACTCTTGGAAATAACATAAAGAAACCTCGATGTAGGAAGGAGACCCCAGGAAGAAAGAAATTGATTGATAATCAAATCAATTGATGAGAAAACCAGAATTACAGCACCTAGTCTTCTGGAATGCTACGATACTCCAGGTAATATATCTGAGATTTAAACGCCGATGTTAGCAGCAACTCAGAAACGGCGCCCGGGTCATTTCCCTGATTGCAGACAACCCGTACCCTGGCTCATCTAGAAGCCTGTGACAGGGAAAGATGGAGACTGTCAAAGAAATAGTGTGCAAGACCAAGTAAGAAGGTTTGGGAAGGTGTGACGACACAGGAATACATGGTGAATTTCAATTTATGCTAACTTTAAACCAATTTGCTACAACATACCTCCAATGGCTCATTGGAAGCTTGTTCTATCCTGTGAACAATATAATGTTTAATTCTATTATTTCTGAACATGCTTTAAAATTCAAATTCTAATTTTTTAAATATACACTTTTTAAATAATGTTAATGAAGATAATATTATGTAGTTGGTCACTCTATTGTAGATGTACTAAATGTGGAATGTAACTTGTTTTACTGTGTCATTGCTATTTGTTAGGGTTTACCAACTCTGTGTAGGCATTCAGCACTCGTTTAAATTAAATCCTTGCCTTCTATTTTGTCTTGATTGTTTTGTACTTTTAGTTTTTGTTGGGAAACTCACTTGATAAAATCGGTAAATGATTCCCCCTCTGGTTTGCAAGACACGTAGATCAACCTCCTGATGGACTCACAGTTACGTAATGTTTTTACAACACTTGAATCTGCAAAAGATATAATACAGTTACATAAAATATATAGAAAACACAATAATACTGCCTGAAAAATTTCAGGCCTTTCTGAGAAACTCCCCAAGTTAACAGTCGCTAAGCATCATTCTTGTAGCCTCTTATTTTTTGTTTTTACCAAAATGGCCCCAATGCACTGTAGCTTGCTACAGTTTCCATTTGTATTATATCTTTCTTACTAATGATTCGGAACAGTCAAGCTCGGCATCAATCTGGCGGCGTCTAATTTTCTATATTTTTTACAGAAACAGCTCCAATCACTGTAGCTGCAATATCCATTAGTATCATGAACGTCCTTATCAATGTTTGTAGTGATTGTTATTACAATATAGGAATCCGAAGTTTCCAAATACTATTGTGAGCAAATCAACTAAAAACATAATGTGAGACAAACACAATAGTTCTGTGGTTAAACACAATTTTGAAAAAAGACGACTTGGCGGTTATGATGTGTATTACACCAATTTAAACAAACTTTTTTTCTTGTGAGATGCTATCAAAGAAGAATAGCTATACTATTGAATCAATCTGTTCTGTAGAATGAAGTAACTTACGAATTCCACTGCGTGCTGGATCTACGACTGCGAGCACTTCTTGGTTAGGCTCCAGGCAAGACAGAACATGTGGTAACACTTTCTCAACTGATCCGCACACAAATTCTGCATTATTTATACCTTCAAAGAAATGAACACAATATACAGTAAAAAACAATGTAGTAATAATATAATTATTTAAGCTTACTAGTAAAACCAATTATTAAACATATAGATGCATCTCATATTCTATACCGTTGCTTCTAGGACTCACACTACCTTCACGAATTGACCTATGACATGCTTTCATAGGTCAATTCCTTCACTTGTCACATACTTCTTCACTCCACATGCTTCAGCACATTCCATCACTCAGTTTATCTTTCACCGCACTTTACCATAACTCCATGCATTCAAATTTTGTAGACTGATAATGGACTGCTTTGCACTACAGTATTTTAAAAATAAATTTTTTCGTTGTCATCTTGATTGACTTCAAGAACCCCTAAATCACAGTGCAGCCCCAGTACCAACATATAACAAATACATTTTCCCTTTATCTCACATAACAATCATGTGAGGGGTAAAAGTGTAAAACCCAATGCTGGCCCAGTTTAAACTGGGTCTTCTCACCAAGAAGCAGGACCAATACTTTTCGGCCAATCGTTCAACTCTATCAAAGTAAGATTTAAAAAAAAAAATTTAATGATAATGAGAGAATATTTACCATTGATTTCAGCATTCACCTTTGCGTCTCTCACAGCCTGTTCCACAATCTCAATACCAATAACTTTATGAACACTTCTAGCGAGATATAAACCAATAGTTCCAGTGCCACAATACAGGTCCACCAGTACTATTTGTTTTTCACTACCTTCAATCAAAAGCTCTTTAATAGTTGAGTATAACATTTCTGCGCATTTCGTATTCGGTTGGAAGAACGCAAGTGGAGATATGCGAAAGGTCAGGTCATGAAGTTTTTCATACAGATATCTTTCACCATGCAATAACTCGATTGAGCTATCATCATACGTCCTTGTTTTAGAGCTAGAACAAAATAACATAAATAAGAAAGTTAGATTAGTTTGTTTACTATTTTATATTTAATATGTATGGGGTGGTCATGTAGGTTGTGTAAAGCTTCCAATTAAGGTGTCCTCGGTTCAAATCCTGCATGCACTACGATCACTTTTCAATAGTTTATAGCACTGCATTTCATTCTACCCTGTAATAAGTAGGAAGCTGCTTGCTGTTGAATGACAAAACAACAACAAAAGCAAGTCGTTATATATATTTTACATCATTTGGTTTGCTTGAATTTTTTATCTGCCAAGTAATTTTTTTTCCATTTTATGCCTTGCTCTTGTATGTCCAGCCAATTAAGCCTTTTATTTCACAGCAAAACATAGCCACTCATTACCAAAAAAAATGAAAGGAAAGCACCATTAAATCCAGTAGGCTACAGAACAGATGAGGCCTACTAACCAAACTCAGGGGGAGCCTAGCCTTGTTATTTAGCATTTAAAATATTTAGACTAACTTGCCAACACAAACCAAAAAAAAGTTGTTTTATCTGGGCATTCAATTGGCACTTCCAAAAAACAATCTCAGAAAGTAAGTGTATGATTATAGAGTACTAATAAAACTAGAGTGACAGCAACTATTGGACTGTATCTGCATATTTTTATACTCCTCAAACCACCAAACCATACTATATATTTCTCTACAGGAATGTTAAAAAAAATAATATACTGTGCTAAATGCTTGCAGTACACCATGTAGATAGTTCTGGAAAGAACTGGTGTCATTGAGAATGTCTCAAGATTTTGATTGAGTTGCAATTCAATCGTCTTCAGGAGCAGATATTATTCTCTTGATGGTGATTGAAGCAACTCAATCCAAATTTCAGGACATTCTCAACAACAACAGCAGCAGCAGTTCTTTTCCGCAAGCATTTAACACATCATTAGTTTGCAAGCATTTAACACACTATTACTTTGCCATGCAAACCCTCAAACAATAATATATTATAACAATGTGGTATGAATTTACCTGCTCTGTAGAAAGAGTGATGTTATACTGTCTTGATTTCCTTTTAGAAAAAATTGTTTCAGGTCTTCTTTGTGAATATCTAACTGTGATTGGTTCAAAGATCTAGGATTGAACTGTACGATGGCCGCCATGTTCCCAGCAAGGTTGCTCCGAACGGTGCACCCTCGCCAATGCCCGTCATCATGGAAGACCAACATCACACCTAGAGGACTTTGCCGTAAGAACTCCTCATACAACTTTAATAGAAAAATAAACATAAGAAAATAAATGAAAAAAAATTGTTAATGTTAAAACAGTAAAGAAACAATATTCTTTTGGAAGTAAATTATTGATATATTATTTAATAATAATTACTGCTGCTGTTGTTATAATTATTACTGATTTTTAATGTTTTAATCATTATTTATTTTACATTTTTAGATCCATGACAGTGAAATCATACATTTGTGACTAGCTTTTACTGTTTACTTAATCAATAATGTAATGAGGATATTATCATGCACTTTTGAACACGGTAAATAATATTATTATTATTATTATTATTATTATTATTATTATTATTAATATTATTATTGTATGTTGTACAAATTTAATAATACAAATTTTTATCACATTTTGAAATGAAAATAAAAAACAAAATGTAATCCAATAATAATAATCAAATAATTTGTGTATTTCCTACCTTTCCTATTCTTTTATGTGCACTGCTGATATTTAAGCATTTTTCTGCTGACACACAAACAACATTTTTCTCTTGAAGTAAAAAATAATAGAAAAGAAAAGGTTATATATTTTCAGCCCATATCACACTAAATGTTTCTATATAATACAATCAACAACTATAATATAAACATTTGAGATGGGTACGAGAGGCTTTAAGTATTACATTTATTCAACAAGGCTCTAAAATTATGATTTATTGACAATTGGAAGGATACACAGATCTTTCACTGTTTTGAATTTTGAATTTAACTACATTTGATAACTGAAATGAGCCGGTTCAGCATATTAAAATTGCTTTAAAAAGCTTTGTTGTTGAAATACTAATTACTACTACATAATTACCAATTCATATACAGCCTTAACCTCCTATCGAGGCCACCTTTGGGACCTGAAAATTTGGGGTGGTCTCTGGGGTCCAATCTCCAATTTGAAAGCTGGCTTCTTGTTAGAAGGATTGTTCTTTGAGAAAGTGGTTCCAGTTCTTTGAATTAAAAGGATCTCATAATTTAAGGGGTCCCGGAATTGAAGGGTATCAAATTGGAGGGTGAATTATATTTGAATTTTTACTCACTTTTCCAACTTCCTACTAACATTCCAACTGTTTTTTCATTACCATCTTGTCCAACACCAACACTAAAATCAGACTTGTTACGATAACCTTCCACTTGAGGCTATAAATAGAAAAAATAAAGTTCTACTTTTATACACAACAGCCAAGTTTGTCTTTATATTCATTAACTTCACAGATTAGGTGACAATTATGCACTTATCTTTGAATATACAGTATTTTCATTAAAGTTTTGAATTTTCAGTTGAAAAGTATCTTAGTACTCATAGAGGATGAGGCAATGTGATGGGCCTCATGTCATCTCATAAAAGTGAACACAAATTAATTGGCATGGGGAAAAACTACTAAAATTTAACTTGAATAGAGATAGGACTACCATACGAAGGATTTCCATAAAAATTGGAATTTCTACTAGAAAGTATATAAGACAACTAATTGCAACTTTATTGGAAGGTTTTCAAAAATTCTCTGTGTGCGGTAGTGACAAAAGTAGCAGGTGAATGTGCGTCTGCAATCACAAGAAGTGCCAACTGTGAGTCTTGAAGCACAGGGAAATTATAGAAGGCTTGTGATATTAAACCACTCATGTACTGTACTAACATTTTAAATCTACAATGTAATTATATAATATATAAATATTAATATTATCAATAATGTTATCTGCATAGTTTATAGCCGATTCTGTTATTTTAAAACTTTAAAGTACGAGACTGAATTTCAAGCGAGAGCAAATTTTAAAGTCTATATGCAAAACAGCCGGATTTCAAATGTTACAAGTGGAGAATAATGGCAATAAAGTGCTATTTTTATTCTTTCCTACAAATTAATTTCCAGAATACATTAAAATTAATTTTATAAAGTAAGTACAAACCGAAGGAATGACTTCTGACAACGGACAGCATAATCCAGCATGTTCTCTAGTGTTTGTTAAAGTTCTGATATTCCCCGTTGCTGCTTCCAATTGGATCAACTCATTTGTTAGTTTCTGAAGCAAAGACTTCATTCTCAAGTATTTCAGTTTAAGTTGCATTTCGTATGGAATTTTCCAAAGTGGACAGGTTGCATGCATCATCTGTTCACAGGAATTGCTGTTGACTGAACTGCTGCAAAAACTGGTATTATTCTGAGATCGACTAAAAATAACATAGAAAATATACAGTGAAGTACCTTGGGTACTGTTAAGCGGGGCACTCACTGAAAGAATTCAACAAGACGACGTGCGCGCAACAGATCTTTTTTAATGACGATCCAATCAGACTGCCACTGCCAATTAGCAGACAGTGTCGCGTCATTCTAGCGCTCACAGGGAGCGTGGTTGGATTCCTGGTCGACGGTCCCACAACGCAGTGAGTGCGCGGCTTTAAAAGGCATTTGGACGCCGTCAGTGTTTTTTTTCAATGTAAAATTTAATGTATAATGTATAGCACCCACTTGAATTAACTCAAGGCGATTTTTCCTCTTGTCATTGGATACAGAAACTAATCATATACAACATGCATTTCCACTCCCTGGGAATTAGTTTCGCGTGTAATACAGCACTACCAATTCCATTCCAAATAATTTGCCTCCTACCAGGTACCTATTTACACTCCTGAATGGAGAGGCAAACACATTGAGCACAAGGACACAGTGTGATGAGCATCAGTCAACTGACATACCCATGACTTCCATTAAATATCCATCTTTTACATTAATATTTTGCCATACTTTTAGTGCCATATTGTTAAAAGTTAAGACCCTAAATTAGTAATTTAAGCATTTTTTACGTCCATTTTACTGTACAGTGGGCAAAGGCAATACTTACAATGTTTGTGTAAAATACCTCTATCTAGCTTTGCTTCAATCCAGCCCTGAATCAATGCTGATGCTGAAGCTTGGCTATGATTTGGATTTCTCTAAATCAGGTGCGCAAATATCATCGTCAGCTGATTTATAAAGGTATTGTCAATCAAGAACTAATATACGGTGGCAGCAATGCACGCAACACTTTTCCTGCCTGTTCAGGAGATATACTTCAGATCGCCATACATTTAGGAACAGGCAATATATTTTTTACTACACAAAGCTGTACGGCCCAATTATGCATGCAATTTCAATTCTTCATGTAAATGCTGAGGTAAGGAGAAGCTATCACCAATATTTTTGTAATACTTTTGTGTAAGCTGTAAGCAAGGAAGCATAACAAAAAGAATGTGAAAACACAAGAAGCAACAAAAAAAAAATCCTGTTACCCTACCCAAGTTGCAACACTGACATCTGAAAAACACCAACTACAAAACCAATTAAATGTAAATCAATAATTTAGCAACATCAGGAAGGAAATGAAAATGTGATTCATAAACATTGAAAACTTTGAATTATCTAAATATTCAAATATCTGCACAATCTGCAATAATGGAGTTAACAAGAGAGCTTGACGGAAGACTCAACTGAAGCCGGGATATGTTTAAGACTTAGATTCAAGAGGTGGACAGTGTCAACGTTAAGAGTCATTGGATAGCGATATACAGAAAAAAACAGACAATAAAGAGCCTAAAAAAGATTGTTACAGGATCATCAACAATGGAATTATGTTGGAATTCTCCAATATGAAGTGAAAATCAAAGACAACCTTGTACATTCAGCCACAAGTGGAGAACAACAAAAAGAAAGAAAATTATGTTGTATTGACAAGAAGTGGGCTAGTTGTTATGATTAATGGTGCCACCATAAATTTGAAGTTTCCCTTTTAGCAATGTTCAAATTCATTGTCTGGATGGACTCTGTCTCACAAATGGAGAACAGTAATAGAAATTTTACATATTGATGTCAGATTAAAATGTATTATACACCACTACCTCATTCAAGTATGATTTCTTTTTAACTTTTGTGAAAACATATGTTGGCAGAGTCTGTACACCATTAAATACAAGACTGCTATTGGGGGAGGGGGTAAATATATATAGCAGGGATGATTGCCTACTTAAGATGTTCTATATATGTCTCTTTCTTCACCCAGGAGTATAATAAAGTGTACTGTACCTGTCAATTTGAACATATTGGTACATAGCTAAAAGTACTGATATGCCTATAAATATTTCCTAGGGAGAACACACACTGCATGACTGTCATGTATCCAATGGCAAAAATAAAGGCTTCAACCTATTGGTAACTTTATGTACTTTTGTGAGACTAAAACCAGATAAAAAAAAAAAAACTTGTCTTTTTTGTGCATGTTTTGAGGTATTCATTCAAATTGTAGAAAATATTTTTTAGTGATTCTTTACAATTTAAAAAAAGAGAAAAATTTTAATTGTCACCTTTAAATTCACAGTGTCAAGCACTGTAATCATGATTCACAAAATGTCCTCTTTACAGGTAAATTAGAAATTAATAATGAAAGGACGGTGTGTGATACTTTGTTTCTTAATATCTCATGCAAATAAAATAAAATGTTTGGTATTTTAATTTTTAGCTAAAACAATTTGTTCAACCTTAGCCTGTACTGGCTCCGCTATGCTACAAACTTCATCTTATTGTGAGTTGGTCAAATATTGCATCAAATATGGCAACAGACTGAATCAGATATTGTGTCAGATATCATTTCAGATTGAATCAGATACTATATTATATTAAACTGCATCAGACTGCTTTTTTTAGTCAAATCAGGCAAGGCTAATTTTCACACTTATATTTATAAAGTTTAATCATGACAGCGTTTTGTTCAAAATCATGTTCCATCTTGTAACTGTGCTTTCCATTATATAAAGATGGGAATAACCTTTACTTGTCCCAACTACTGCTCAAATGAGGAATTTACTGATGTTCTGTGAGCTGAAAATCTTCAAAATCTGTATAAAAAGCCTTTGTTGTATTAGTAAACAGCAAGTCAGATTCCCTCACACAATTGATACTGTAAAAGTCAGATGGTAGGAATAGTACAGGTTTTTATAGTCATGACTTTTGTCTTAGATGCCATCCTCATTTGTTGAGAAAATAGTGTGCATGCCTTTCTGTTCCAGTACGATCTGTGCAGTTATTTGATGGCCTTCATGTATTCTTTGAGCAATTTCATCAGGTTTATTGGTTGTTATTCCTAGGATAAAACAAGTCAAGTATACATACTGCTACATTTCTGTCCACTGTCCTTCATGTTGTCCAATCTTATTGAGAATGATGACAATCCTTGTATAACAAAAAGTAATCATGCTTTTCACTGTAGAATTTGTTAAAGCAGTCTTCTGGATATAGCAAATTACTGAATTTGGTTTGCAAATACATAACCACACCTGTAGAAAGATTAGCAATCCATAAAAGCTTCGCAAAATATTTATCAGAACTGTCTGCAGTTGATCTCTCCAATGCAATATCAAGTCAGACCAGTTCATTTTCCAAAGGTCTTTATCAGAGGAAGTCCGTCAAATCTTGCCAAAGTATGTAGTGCGTAATTACTACAATATTTTCAAAGTCTGTAGCAATAATCCAGCCACTTTACAGTCCAAGTTTAATTTGATAATATATAAGCTCACACTACCAATCAACATTCATTTATTAGATTTGCAGATATCTAAGCAGCAGATTCTTTAGATTGCAATATCTATTGATGCTCTTTAAAAGTTTCATTCTAAACTGCATATTTTTGTATATTGTATGCTTTTCATGTGCATTAACATTTGAGACACTAGTGAGGCTGACCATTGAATTTATACGCAGTCATGCATTATGCTTCATTCCCTGAGGAGTATTCCAAAGACCTGAATTTCTTTTTTTTTACCATATTTACAGAGGGTGACCCTTAAAGCTTATCCCAGGTTGGCTCATATTCAGGGGATCTCTTTAAAAAAAATGAAATAATGGGATGCTTTTATCAGTCTCTTTATGAGGATTAGGCAGTGAGTGGAGTTGTTTTTAGTCGTGAGAAAAAAATCCTGTTTTCACAGGAATTGAACCCAGAACCTTGGGATTAGAAGGCAAGCATCTTAACCACTAATCTATTCAACTCCACTCCAAATCTGCAAACAAAAAATATACCAAGTATGCATTTTATGAAGAAAGAGTAATGGAGATTTCGTGGGAACACAAAACATTTCTACTGTAGAAAAAAGATGGGATCAAAGAACTTGAAAAAAAGAAACCGGAAAGTATGAAAGGAAACTGAAGAGACCGAGAGTTCCAGACATAAATGATAATTCAACTTCCGATGAAGATGATTTACGACTAGGAATATGCAGAGATGGATTTGTATTTGTCAGTATAAAATTACTTTCTGACTCCATGCAAGCCAATTTGATTTTTTCTAATTGTAAAAATGTACAGATAGCAAGCAAGGATTCTGTCACTACATACACATACAATGCACTAAATTTGACTGGGAAAGTGTTTTTCAGACATTAATTAAAAGCTGTACATTAAGTGGCAACAGAATCACGAGTGAAATTTGAACCCCAAAGGATCAGAATCTCCCATCCTGAGGGTGCTGTTAGTATATTCAATCGTTCTGTTGAAACGAGAAATCTCAGATATACAAAGTATTTAGGTGATGGAGACACAGCATCCTACAAAAAGTTGCTGAAGAGAAGCCATACATCCCTAAGTGTGAAATCACCAAACTGCAATGTGTCGGGCACGTTCAGAAACGGTGCGGTAAGTGGTTGAGTGACTTACTGTAAAAACCAAAAAAAAAAAGGAACTACACTGTCAGATATTAAGGTATCAATGCACTACAGAACTACTATATGTCATTGTCATTAGAAAAAATACCAATAATTTGTATGGCATGGTACAACCTGCAAAAAGCCGTACTTCCGCACATAGCTTTGTCAGACAGCAACCTACAACACCATGCCTCTCTGGAGAGGATGCGTGGTGCAATTACAAGAGATCCAGTTGCCTACAAACATAAATATGGACTACAAAAGGCCACTGAAAAGGAAGTGGAGCCTATTTTCCCTTTTGTGGCATCAGAGAATCTGTTGAGCATGCCTAGACAAAAGACTCAGAATATACTTGTGTTACTTGTTGTGTTGTGCTGTGTTGAGTGTCCAGGTGCATCTCAGAGAGCATTGCCTCAACTACCTTACAAGTTGCAACCATACTTACAAGCAACACTACAGCTGCACTGCTTGTGGTACAACAGTAAGTTGCTAGCATTTCAGAAGCATGCACAAGTGGCACAACAGATCCACTCACATCTGCCACTTGTGATATTGAAAGATCGCTAAAAATGCAGCAAGTACAAGTCAGTTCCAGGCACTGCATACTGTATAAGATACACCTGAAAAAATTAAATTGAAGAACTACTTTGTGCTCTAATATGGCCCACTTAGATTGCATAGATGGGGACAAAAATTACATTTGTCACACATGTGATAATGATTCCGAGATGAGATTGGAAAAGTATGTACCAATGACCCTGTATTAATATTGGACCATTCTTAAAAGTCATTTAAGATGTTCTAGATGGTACTTGTACTCAGGCTCTTAGAACAAGCACCCCAGAAGAATTAAGTTCTGGAGAAGACAACGATCCTAGCTACACCCCAGACGAGTTTCCAATTAAACCAATTTCATTGCATGATATTGGAGGATCTGGAAGAAGTGAAAAAGAAGTGTCTGTGACGCTAAAATTAAGGCATTGCTTTAAAATTTGGAATGCCCTGCAAACATTTTTAAGCTGTTATGAGTAGTTTTAAAACTTTTGTATTATATTATGTTCACTACTGAGGAAGTGGTCAGCTGCCAGGAAAAGCTTATCCATTTATATATGTATAGAGCACAAACACCACAAAGACAGATTTGACTCCCTTATATTTTTTTATGGAGAATTTTGTGCTAAAATTTCTTTTAGGCAAAACTATTATTCCCTTTCTACTTTTGTATTACAGGGTCAGCTGTAAGGAAAGGATTTAATTAATTTATTTATTTGGATGGTGTATGAAAACCACAAAGACACACTTGGCTGTTGTCATAAGCCACTATTTTACTAATGTCAA